CCAGCGAAATTAATAACGAGTCGACAAACCTTCATATTGATATCAGGAGTTGCAGAACGATGCACACCATGGTAACTCAGACGCTCATTAAAATTCGGCTCCNATATATATATATATATATATATATATATATATATATATATATATATATATATATAAAGTGTGACTTGATTTTCGTAGAACAGTGCTCAATACATAGAAGTAGAGCGAAGTATATATTGTGGGAGGAAAAAGACAAGTAAACTACAAGTTCATCCCTACAAGCCTGTTTCGTGGTCGCCCACTCATCAGGGGATTTAATGAGAATAAACTTTACCATTGCTTATATACAATATAATTTGCATGATCTAACTAGTCTAATTTGTGCAGCGCGAAATTGACAGTTTAGTTGTTGCGTAGGAGGGCTTTGCTTCTGTGGCGGCATGAAGACACGAGTTCATTACGTTTGTTTAGTGTTGATAGTTTGGGCCGGCAGATGATTAGGAATTTTTCTTTGAGGTAGATGTTACATCTTTTAGTTGAGCTGTGATACGAAAGAACGAAAGGAACGATGGGTAATCGTCGCCTCGTTGCGGTTTGCCCAACAACCATGAAGGGCAGTAACATTACTCTGCTAATTTGTGTCGAAGATCTGGGACCGGCCCTATGATTTTTAACAGCAGTTATGCAATATTTCATGAAGCATGAGACAGTGTTAACGATCAAAACAAAATTTTTGAGACAGTGAGTTTTTCTTCCTTGTTCACCGGTATCATGCATACCATCAAGTTTGTGAACATGAAAAAACATCAATGACCAAGTTGATCTTCTTGACCCCATTTCCTGTTTTGTTCACGTAAGTTTACGTACGCCTTTGTTACGGTGTTTGTCACTAAGGTTAATTCAAGTTCACGAAAATTTTCGTGTAGACTGAATGTACACGCAAACGAAATGATCTTTCTAAGAGGAAGTAAAATTGCTGCTTTCAACGTTTTTCAACTTGCACGGCGAAGCGATTTTCTACGCCACGCGGGTTTTTTTTCCTGCGCATAATTCTAAACACCAGTGATTGAGATTTTCCGCTTCCCTGAGTGTCTTGATTCCGCTCATGCAGAAATATCTCCTTCAAAAAAGTGAAATACCTCTAGTCATCAAGATATAGCGCTTGCTGGAAATCCGGCAATCCAAAGATGTAGATACCAGATCCCCTTGCAGCCGTTGTTGGAACGGTACGATACGTTAACATAGCCAAACAACATGTATGCGGCACATGTTTTTCTCCCATACATGGCCGTGTTACACGTGCCTTTAGTGCGACGGCTCTAATGTCCCTTCAAATTATCCTAATAAGCGAGGAGCTGTGAGTGAGAGTTAACCAAAGTAGTGTAACAGAATCATAAAATCAATTGAATATACCGTGACTTTTAAGCGCGGTACAGCTCTTTTCACGTTTTCCGGGATGATGCCGTTCTCCGGTCAGACTTCTTGTAAGAGAGACCTTCATCTCCATGATAATTTTTTAAAAACAAATCATTTTCACAACAAAGGCTTTTTTTAAAAGGGAGAGTTTGGGCACGTTGGAAAAATTCTACTACAAACAAAAAATGCAATAAAAAGTAATATTCAAATACGATGTTTGGACAATTTCAGAGCAGTGATTCCTCGAAAAAAAATCTCACTATTCCACGAAAGGAAAGAAAGCGTACGCATCGGATGGGTTCACTTCATTACGTGCGGTTAAATGATGTTGATACAAAACTCATTTTTTGCGTCAAACCCTTACGAGACAAGGACAATAGCCTGCCTCTTGTCTCCACAAGGACAATAGCCTGCCTCTTGTCCACGCCCCGGTGGACGCGTCATTGATACGAGGATGGTGTTCATTCGGGGTCCGACCCTCTTCGACGCGGTACAATTTTCCTTCATTTTTTCAAGTTGATATTTCATTTCCCATTCCAAGATACCAAGGGGTGGGTAATCGAGATGAAACGATGTTTCCTTTTATTCTATATCCACTCTCAACCGCAATCAACCATCGCTAAGTCTTTTCAAATGACTGTTGAGGTCAAAATTACGTATCGTATGTTCCAGCAGTACTTTTTTAAAGGAAAAAAAAACAACAACAATAAACAGATAAACAAACAAACTGAACTCAAACAACGTCATTCAAGATACTACACTTTTAAGACACGCGGAGTACCACTTGATGGACAAATCTTCTACTTGAAAATGGTCTCAGAGATGGAAACGTCGTTATTATCGCTAGTTTTTAAGACTTCATTTCTGGAATAATGAATAATGTACATGGCAATTGTATTTACTACTGTGTCCTCCACGTTCTGTATTCTTCTAGGCCTAATAGGGTGGATCACATCTCATGATACAATTTCTCATCTTGAGGAGATCAACCGGCTAAAAAACAAGATAAACTGTCTCAATATATCATACATTAATGAAACTGGGGGTAAGTGAAATCATCATCAAATTATTAAAATATAACATCAAATACATAAATGTAACCAGGTCTAATTCAATTTTTCTGCATTTTAAAATAACTACTAGGCTAATCTGAAGACAAAAATAGCTGTATATCCCATAACTGTTTGCTGTTCTTCTCAGTGAATTGATTCGCTGACATAGGCTGGTTGCGTTGGAGAGTGAGCTTTTTTTCTTAAACTTATAGGCCACCAGAAGGAAAGGATAGTGGTAATTAAAAGTCACTAAGACTGCATGTATGTACAAAGTAAGAAAAAAGAAAAAAATATATATGTAAATAAGCGATTCAAGCAGCATCTTGAATTTACTTATTCATCATTGACACTTTTTTCGAATATGTTTTAATTATAGCTTAAGCCAATGTATAAATGATATATTAATTAGTACATTACAAGATATGCTTTGTAACGTTTGAACTCATCTTTGACACTTTAATTCAAATCTGTTTTATTATAGCTTATGTTACTGTCTAATTAGTGTATTATTTAGTACATTTTAAGATAATTCTTATTGTATGGTGTTTTATTATAGCTTAAGTTACCGTATAATTAGTGTATAAATTAGTACATTTTAAGATAATGTTTATTGTATAACTATACTGTGTCCCCAATTAGCACCTCGCTAGTCAGGAGCTAGATCCCTAACAGACACATAAATAAAGTTTCATCATCATCGTCATCATCATCATCACCATCATCATCATCCTTTGCATTCTCACTTAACAAGGGAACTACACCCTTATTTTTAAATCAAATACAGTCACTTAATATTGTGTACAGATACTGTATAGGAAAAAAAGTAAAGAGAGAATTGAACAGAAAATCAGAGAAAATGTACGGACAGAGGAAAAAAAGTCAATCATTTTAAAAGAGCATAATATATAGATTTAGCCAAGCCTAAAAGCAGAGCTCCCAATTTCGTAATATTAATGATAACATAAAAGATGTGCATTTGCCAAGACTTGCCTGAGACACCCCTCCCTTCGTTTTGATAGTCTCCCCTACCCTACCCGTGCAATCTGAAGGCACGTATGCTCGGTCAGTCATGTGACAACCAAACGAAAAGAGGTTCACCATATTCCATGGGTATGGGGCTCTGCCCCACGCGCGTGGGAGCTCCACTAGGTGGCTCGTACCAGTTTCCTCGCGCGGGAAACAGGTCACTCTTGCGTGACGCGCGCGAGAGAAACGTGCGAAAGAAACGCGAGATCAAATGATGAAAATTCAAAGCAAAGATGGCGGCGCGTGGAATTTTTTCTACTTTTGTGAGAAGTTTACCTAAGAGCTTGTATTTGATGTGTTGAGCGGCCACTGTGAATGCAGGAGATAGAAACTAAGATAAAGAAGACGATTTTCGGAGAAGTAAAGCTTGCTTCACTTCATATCTAAAAGAAATATTCAACCGATTTGAAATCTTGCGAAGGCGAAAAAAGAACAACTCGAGTGAAGAATAATCTACCTTAAGTGAAAGAAGACTTTGAAACTTCAAGGAAAATTATATGATGTAGCCAGAAGTCGTGTGTAGGATTTTTAAGATGAGCCCGGGAGGTTGTCTTTGACAGCTGTTTAATGATTTTTTTAGCAGTAGACATCTGTAAACATCAGATCGTAGGCGCGCGCGCGAGCACACGCAAATATCAGCGGTAGCTATAACAGATCATGAGCAAATGTCGGTCTTATAGAATCCAGATTTTTTAATGCGCGAGAACGCGCGTGGAAATTGCTAAGCTCACGAAAGCTATTGCATGAAAACAAGTCCGGTGACTCCTTGTTTTTATTTTTCCAATATGATAACGTCGAAAGAAATCATCAGAAAAAAAACTAGAAAATTCTACGGAAGGAAAATTGCCCTTTTTGTAGATTTTCTGAAATTCCGCTCCGTAGAATTTTTTAAAAATCTTTGTGCATTTTCCTTTTCAAGTGCCAAACGCAATCACTCAAAAAAATCAGGGGGTCACTGGGTTAGTTTTCGAATTATTTAAGCCACAAGCTAAAAAATGCGTCTGAATAAGCCTATGAAAGCGTTGCCATGGAAACTGCTAGTGACGAAATGACACTTATTTCTGGATAACCAATTATTATGTAATTCAACCCCGTAAAAGTGTTGAACTGGCGCTGGCCTTGGTCAGTCTTTCTGTTGTATTCTTTCAAAGTTACAAACCATCAAAAAGATGAAAACCGGTGCGAGCCACCTTAAGTACTTGAATGATGGTAAAGTAGATTACAATCAAGTATGTTGATCTAAGTTCATGTTTGATTTTCCGTTCATAACCAAATGTCAACCGAAAAAACTTAAGGTAAGGTAAAAGGTTGGGAGTGAAAAAAGGTAACAACATTTTGTAATGTATGATTTCCGGCCTTTCATCTCGCTTTGTAACGGCAGTCCATTTCGATCTCGGTAAATCACTTGAAAGAAAGTTGAAAAACGAAAAATTCTCACCTCCCTTATTAGTATTGCCGTAATCTCCACTCAAACAATGTAATGTAACATATCCCCCCACCTCCTCCCCCACCATATGCCCGTCTAGCCTCAATTTTGTGCGCAGGTAATCCAAGGTGGCGCTACGTCCTAAAATGTTTTGATTAAATATTTAGGTCACGAGGAATGAGGAATTTTGCCAACAAATTAACTTCACAACATATCAAATTACCTATCCAAGTGGTTACACATTCGGGTGGTCACGTGTCCTACACTGATCCTCGCCTTATTCATGAAAAACGTCACACGAAAAATGATTTACTCGATAAGAATACGAAGTATTTGAAGTATAATCTGGATCTCCCTTCAACCGCTTCGCAACAACAGCTATTCTTACGATCTTACCTCAAACCAACTAAAGGATCATCTGTATCTTGACTATGAGGGACTCAAAACAAAAAGATGGTACATCACATCGGACTATTTACGCATTTACGTTCCTGGTTTCGATAACAATGTTGATTTTCCTCTTTGTGTGGAGACCAATGCTTCTTCCATATTTCTTCAGATACTTTAAGTTGATCATTTCAGAAGCTATGAGCGACGAACAGAGGGTTTTGGACAATCAACTACAGCTTGCTCATAAGGAATGGAGAACGTATCAGATTGAAAGTCGTTTTGGCCAAGAATGGTGCAAAGAAAACGTACAAGCAAGAAGCGATGTCACATGGTTAACAATCGTGGTCGATGATAATTTCGTCGTTCCTGCGTTGGTTCTTGCTCACTCTATCCAAACATTCTCTTGCCACAAGAACATGATTGCCCTGATTTCAGATACAGTCGCTGAAGAAACTCGGAGAGCACTTCAGAGAGTTGGTTGGGACATTCGCGTAGTCGAAGCAATGGACTGTGACTGGCTAGATGCTAAAATGGGCTTTGCAAGAAACGGTGGCTTGTTTGAAAGGCCAGGGAGTTTCAGAATAAAAGGAACACACACTCGTTTTCATGCGTGGAACTACACTGAATTTTCCAAAATCATTTATGCCGACGCCGATTACATGTTGATGACGAATATCGATCAGCTGTTCGATATTCCAGATGACTTTGCTGCCACCCCTGGGAACAGGCCTGGTGTGGTGAATCCATGCTTTAATGCTGGTTTCCTTGTTTTTAGACCAGATGCCAAATACTATCAGGGAATCATGGACTTATGGTTGGAAACCACCCAAAGAGATACTTGTCCTGACGATCAAGTTTTGCTCTGGCATTATTATGCCGATGCTGGAAACTGGAGAGCACTTCCTTACTCATTCAACATCAGGCTCATCATCTACAGACCCTTTAACTCTTATCACTTTGCTGGAGGCAAAGGCGGCTATCATCCTCCCAAGCCTTGGTCCGCAGATTGCAGACCAAGCAGGAAAGAAGCTGCAGAGTATGACAGACCAATTGTTGACATAGCAGATGTAGAAATAGTTTTTTGGAAGAATTTTTATCAGTTACTGAAACGGTACAAATTAGAGGACTGGTGGAGATCTACAAAGCTGTTTCGACCAAAGCAAGAGTTTGGTCTGGTACCTTATGCAGACTGCAAAAGGGGTCATCAGTGAGTAATTGAAACAGGTACAGAATGTAAAAATTATTGCATACAGGTGCCGATGAGACTAAATTTTTGAAAATCTAGGGGCTAAATTGGCAACTAGATTGCTTCACCACAACCTACTTAAAGACAAAGAGACGATAAAGATTGCTTTAGATAAATCTGTGGCAAACTTCCTCAAAAAGTTGACTCTATTTTGAAAAGCAGAACATGTTCAGCCATCGTCACAATTACTAGAGGCCATCTTGGATTTATGTATCCTTTCAAATGGTGCAAGACCCATTGTATTGTCCTCTTTAGACCAAAGGCAACAAATGCCAAATTTTTCACAGCATAAGATATAGGACATGTCTGGTGGCTTGAAAAAATACTCTATTATAAAATGTTGTTTCTTCTTTCCTTTTCAATTAAGACAGATATTCCCAAAGGTTTCAATTTTTGCTGTTTGGTAATTTTGGAAGTTTCGTTATAATAAATTATTCATAACAAAGTGGTTTCAGAACATCAAGGACTTTTAAGAATTTGGATTTTTCAATTTTAAAGCCAAACAGCAACTGATCCAGAATCTAAAACTGTGCAATTAAGGGAGTGATTTGCCTTGTTTTGTAGATTTATTATGATCAGCAGTTCTGAGAATGAGTTCCAACAAGTTGTACCTCATGAAGTCATGTTAACAACAAATGACAATAACTAAGTGCAGTGAAACTTTCTAATGGATAACTGGATGTGACTACAAATCTTTTCTACCATCTGTTTATGACTCAGGCAGTAGTATTTGTAGTGTTCAACAAATATTTATTTAAAAAAATCTCAGTCGTCTGATCAGGCAACAACACAAGAATTAGTTATCAGCTCAACTTTAGGCCATGAACCAGATATCGTTTGACTTTTAAAGCAGACCTTATTCTAAGCTAGACACGATAGTAAAATCTCATCATTTCTAGGAAAACAGGTAAAATTATAACAAAATTCAGCCAATTTTGGAAGTTTCGTTATAATAAATTATTCATAACAAAGTGGTTTCAGAACATCAAGGACTTTTAAGAATTTAAATTTTTCAATTTTAAAGCCAAACAGCAACTGATACAGAATCTAAAACTGTGCAATTAAGGGAGTGATTTGCCTTGTTTTGTAGATTTATGATCAGCAGTTCTGAGAATGAGTTCCAACAAGTTGTACCTCATGAAGTCATGTTAACAACAAATGACAATAACTAAGTGCAGTGAAACTTTCTAATGAATAATTGGATGTGACTACAAATCTTTTCTACCATCGGTTTATGACTCAGTCAGTAGTATTTGTAGTGCTCAACAAATATTTATTTAAAAAAATCTCAGTCGTCTGATCAGGCAACAACACAAGAATTAGTTATCAGCTCAACTTTAGGCCATGAACCAGATATCGTTTGACTTTTAAAGCAGACCTTATTCTAAGCTAGACACGATAGTAAAATCTCATCATTTCTGGGAAAACAGTTAAAATTATAACAAAATTCAGCCATCTGTTAAAGTTTCCATCACAACCCTCCTGGGCATGCAAATACAACTAAGTTTCATAATATCTAAATTAAATGATCTATTCTTCATTATCAGTTTTTATTATCATTTAAGCACTTCTTTACCAAACTAGGACAGGAGATAAACTGAAAAGGGATGACTCTCTTTTCAGTTCTCTATGATTTGAGACTCATCACAGACTACTGTGACCATTATTATAAATACGGCCAGGGTTCGACACGAATGGTAGCCCACTAGCCACAGACTAGTAAAACTTCAGTTTTGGCAAGTGGTTTTTGATTTCCGTGAGCCAGTTTGGCTAGTGAACAAACTGAAATTGTCGTAACATCTAAGATATCAATACCACTTGGCTAGTAAGTTGAAAAGTTAGTGTCAAGCCCTGACAGTACTAGAATTATTATTATCAGTAATATTACTTTATTACCATTACTTAAAGAGAAATGGTGTGTTCCAAAAGCCCTATTTAAAAAAAAATTCTCGACGAACTTCCTTAAGAAACTTTGCTGCTTCAAGGCCAAAGCAAACCCAAGTTTCTCACATAGTTCTTCAAAGTTTAATGTCAGGTCTCAGATTTTTCTTATTCATACACAAGCAAATCAGAAGAGAATCTCTCCTTGAACCATGCTTGAAACAAGAACTTCTTCTACGCTACGCATTTGTTTTCACTTCTGAGTTTATTACGCAGTCTTGATCAAATCAACTTTTTTCATATGGTGCTCCTGTACTGAATATCTGTTGTAGTTGAAGCTTCCTGAAACTATTAAGAATGCTGCACTATTAGTCAGTTCAAATCTTTACTGAAAGCACACCGATTCAAGGATGCTTAGATTGAATTACAATAAGAGATATGAACATACTGTCAACTGTTACATTATCAATGACAATTTAATATATGTATATGTTTCATAGATTTATAATATATTACTTTTTATTTTATTATATTCTATTTATATTAATTATATTATACCAATTATTTGTATCAATTCGTATTTAATTTACTCATTGTCAGTGCTCTGTTAGATGTGTGTTAAGAACGGTAATTGAATTCAATTAAATTACATTAAATAAATAAAGTGGCAATAGAAACAGGTTTTTCGTGTATCACCACTATTTAAGTAAAGGAGAGAGAAGGGGGCACATATTTGAAGAGGGCGCTTGTTTGACATCATGGCCCAAGGGGTGGGCACTTATTCCAGGAAGGGGGGCCTTTATTAGAGCATGGGCACTCAAGTCTAGGAAATATGATGTCTTGCTTATTCCCTTATTTCAAAATGTCCAGAACACATCTGTGATGAATGTAGGAAGAAATACAAAGACAAAATATAACCAGAAATTTGCAAGCACTGGAACCACAAGTACACCCCGAACTCCAGGGGTATTAAAAGTTATATACAGTGTGATCCATATCCAAGAAAATCCTCGCACTGTGGCATTCAGTACAGGAGTTGAGTGTCTCAGGTGATAGAGACAGGCAGTTTGGCTTGCCAAACGAAGCAGAGCCTGAAATAAAAAGCCAAGAATAGAGATTGCAGATGGCAGAGATAATTCATGAATAAAATGGGATAAAATAGGGCCCTGTGTTACACAAACAAGCATTACAAATAACAATTAAGTCATTAAGAATCCAAACTTGTGAAAAGCTAAAAAGGTGTATAGCTACGCAGTTAAACAACAAAATGAGAAGGGATTAAGAGCACTATCTTGAATCAGGGATATCAGGTCAAATATCTAGTATCAGGTCCACAGTGGTGCATGCTGAGATGGAGGCACTGACGACCAAACACAACACAATGATATTGGTCATATTGAAGACCCATTTAGAATTCAGAAAAGTATCAGGTATCTATCTTCAGGAAATCGAGTCTATGTTTCTGCCAAAGCTTTGACCAGAGTTTACACCAACAGTTATCAATGGCTTCCATGGGGATCAGTAAGTCACAAATTTCAGCCTTGCACATTCAGAATATCTTGCTAATATTTTTTCATAGCAAAGTAATTTGGAGTTTAGGGTTGTTATGCAATGTAAACTGTACTGTAATGAAACACAATGCCTTTACGAAGAGAGGGTAACACTCAGTAGCTAAAAAAAAGAACCACCAAACTTGTGAGTGCACACAATGGAAAAATACTCTATACTACAGTATAATCTGGGAATTTAAAAATAATTGATTAAAAAAAGTCAGCATTCTTTCATAACTATCAGTGATAAGCTGCCTTCAAAGAGGTAGTTGTTAATGTTGATTTAAGCTTGGTGTACACCTTGATTGGTTTCCTATGAAAACTTGATCCCAAATTTCCAAAAAGTGTAGTATTATATTCCTTAACTATACTACAGAGCCCTTAATTTTAAAGACACTTTTCAGGATCAAAGGACTTACCAGAATGAGGATACTGAAGATAAGCTTAAGTGTGCCTCGTTTAGACAGTTCAATTTCTAGATAAGGTAATTCACCAGACAGAAGTGCAATAAATGGAAGACATATGGCACAGCTAACATTCATCAAATAGAGTAACTGGGAAAGTGAAACCTGCAACTTAAAAATCAAAAAAAATATATTGTTATTGGAGTGGTACACAGGTAGAACTGCAAAAGGTTGTCCAGTCTGACACATGACTATGGAGATAATTAGGAGAGATTTTTAGTTTAGATGAGATACTCATGCCTAACATAATTCACTTAGAGGTGTAACCCCTTTTTGCCAGACTAGCTTACATCACTCTCTCCAGTCCTACACCCATAGGCTACAATAATGATGTTATATAAGGTGTGAGCTGGGCCCTTGGAGTCATCTGACAAGTTTTTTTGAAAGCTTCAGCTTAAAAATGGCACACAATTTTTTAAGTCAATATTTAATGGTACTGTTCTAAAGGCACCATTTACTTGTTAGCCATGTGATGTTTATAAGCCACTGAAAAAGCAAAGTCAGGTGAACTCACCGATCAAGAACAACATTATCCCATTCCATTCAATCTGGAACAGCAGACAAGAAGAGCCATCTAGTGGAAACTCCATTGCTAAATTCTCACTTAGTTACTTTAATATTAAATTATTTATTACTTTTATTACCTTGGACAAGCATATTTTTGCTTGCTCAATATAAAAAGCCAGAGACGTGGCCATGAGAAGGCCAAAAGCTCCATGACTAAAAGACATTCTATAATGTGCATGACAATCTTTAAATGAGCAAAACAGAACCATTACAAGTGAACTTGCTGCAGCCACCAATACGATAATCTTGTCAGGATAACTATGGCGACCCATCAACCAAGACGTTACTAGAACTAAAGGTGCCATCAAGGCCAGAGATATCTACAACAAGATTAAGAAAAAAAGTTAAATTTGACTGGAGTAAAAAGTTGTTCAAATCACCAAGCATTTTGACCTCTAACTCCTCCATACAGTAAAAAAACTTTATCCATTAATCAGGTATGGAGAATCACTTAACACATTACCTCAAGGGTGTAATCCTGATACAACACCACATTCAAAAGCCTAGGCTTTCAGAATGCAGCATTTATGCTAGAATAATTTATACCAGTTACAGAAAACACAAACTAGATGGTTTCACAAAAGTCATATAACTCAGATCATTGAAGGGTCCCGAGAGGTCAATTTTTTTTTTGCATTGGATAAAAAGGCTGAAATGGTTTTGACATTATTTCACTCCACTGTTTCGTTTAACCTTCCGGCCTTAAATAGTGACTAACATCTAATTTCTCCTTGCAATTTCACCCCTAAATCACCCATTAAGCCCTGCTGTGAGCCCAGAGTCCAATGCATGTAACTATTAGATCATCACATCTTCCACTGAATAGAATTAGAATTGTGATATCAGTTAAGCAAATTAAAAATATATAATTATATAAAAATAATTCAATTGGCACAAACCAAGTAGGATTCAGATCCAGCAGAAATCCCAAGAGTGGAATGATTAAAATCCAGTCCATAGAGGGTAACAGTAGCAACGAAACAGAAAAGGAGAGAACGGAAAGTAATTACTTGGCTCCTGAAACTAAGGAATGAGAAGAAAATTGCATTCAATGATTTATTTTGAATAATTAGCATGCTTCCAAAACTATAATCTAAAAGCAAAGCACATTACTTTTGTAGGGATCAAAATTAAAAAATAAAATACTCTATAATCAGGTATAGGGAACCCACAAAATATTCCCTCAAACAGAAATAAATTTCACTTACCTCCGAACTCGTTTTCTTCCCCAAAAGCGAAAGGAAAATACAATAACGCAACTCTCTATCCAGTGAAAGGATATTGAGGATTTGCAGTTTTCTAATTGTTTGAAGTTTGTTACATTTTCCAGGATCAAAACAATTGCAAAGAGAAGTGTGGAGAAAAATATGTGAATTTTGTTATGTTCTGTAGAGTCCTTCCAGTACGTGTAATGTCTTTCTCCTTCTTTAACGTCCCTTGAATTATTATGCATAAATGAGAAACCACCATCCTTGACAAGTTCATGTGTAGGGTCTTGCAGCTCCCGATGAAAACGTTCTTTCATTCTCTCCATTAGCCCAATCAGACCGCCAACCACCTCAAAAAAGTCTACTCTAGACAATGAAAAATTAGTCCAAATATTACCTGAAGAAGAGCTTGTGCTGGCAATTAAAAAATCAGTGACATAATTTGTTGTTCAACTAGACCGAGACTGACAGGATTAGTTCTGGATACAAATCATTAGTGCTATGATTCGTCACCTGAAGTGGCACCAAGTTACAATGACAATAACATCATTGTTAAAAAAATAAATTAACAGTTAACTAAAATAAAGCTGAAGCTTGCGTTGAATGGCATAGCCTAGTGAATTCATTTCCATTATTTCGGATAAATTTTTAATTCAATGTCCGCGTTCAAGTATATAATTTGATTACAGGATCGATATGGCAAAAAATTATGAGCGATTTTTGGTACAGAGTGAGAAGAGGACGATGTTCGATCGGCATCGCGCTTACGAAACAAAATTTAACTTCCACGCGGTCTTTGCTTACATTTAGAGGCAGTGCCACGGTCGACTAAAAAAGTTGGATTATTTGCCGGAGAACCACGAGAGATAGTTGAACTGCAAGTGCGGAGAACGAGCGACTCACTTTTCAGTCGATAGAATCGCTGCGAGAAACAACCACCCTTACTAGCTTCGAAGCACCGTTGGCAAAGAGACCGAGAGTCGAAAGGGGACAATCCTTCTAGCCAAACTCCATTGACATAAATTATGCTACTGATCTTCCACGTAAGCTTCAAGGGGCGACACAATAAATGTAGTAAACAATTTCTTCCAGAGAAGATAGGCGATAACCCGTGCCGCCAATATATTCTGTAGCTAGTTTGTCACGAAACAGAGACATCGTTACCTTCAAAAAAACATACCAAAGGCTTTCTACTGTTCTCGAAATTCAGCCATCCCAAACGAAGCGCAGCATCTCGCTGGACACTTCTTCTCATTCGCTGTTCTTGGTTTTTTAAATTTTGTAGATACGAACGCGGCTTTATTCGTAAGAACATTACCAATTCTGGCCAATTACAATTTATGAAAGAATCGACAAGACAGTTGACCAATAACAAGTTATCATATATTTTCATGCAAAAAGAGTGACGTCATTTTTAAAAACCATTTGTCTCACTCCGTTTTCCTTCAGGGGCATGGGGCAGTGTACGGCTATACCGGCTACGGGATAAAATTTAAACATTTTGGGCTCAAAGGCACCATAACAGTCATAAGTGACGTACTTTTGCCAATATTGAATTTAACACTTCCCACGTTTTAATTCTAGAGTAAAACGCAACTGAGATCGTCTTTTTTTCTCACGGAGTTTTCTTCATGTTTTCTTTTCATTTTCTTTTCCAAACAGGACGATGGGACAACATAATAGAAAAGAAAATAATTACAAACAAAGGGTAAAAGCCCTCTCTGCTCCGATGATAGGGACTTTAAGAAACCGCAACGGCGACGCCAAGGAAGACTTCGATTAAAAAATGAATTTCTACTCTTAGTTAGAATTTCAAAAATGGCTGCAGGAGCTTACTATACTGTCTCATACAGCGCCACAGCTCAACTTCAGCATGACGTATAAAGTAGCCGTTGAGTTCCGAATGGAAATAAAAATAATTTGCCGTCGCGGTTTCGGTTCGCAGACGACGCAAAATTTGGCGATTTCACGTTGTTGTTTTGCATAGGACGGCTAAGAAACGTACAAAGTTTCAAAACGCACGTGCTGAGCTTTTGTTCTGCTAATTAGATCTCTTGTTTTTCCGGGTCCTCGTCGCCGTCGCCGTCGTGGTTTCTTAAGGTCCCTAATTTTGCATATCGATACGGCACAACTCGTAAAAATACCTAGCGATGCTACACACCAAAATGTCTAATAAGACATGTTTCAGTTCTCGGGTGGCTGAGTATTTATACTTCCGGTCTATCATATTAGACCATGGGGGTGCCCTTTAGGGTAAATTTGACTCATGTCCAGGCCGTCTATATCGTAACGGCCGCCCCGCCGACTGATGGACAATAGGGACTTTAAGAAACCACGACGGTGACGCCAAGGAAGACTTCGATTAAAAAATGAATTTCCTCTCTTAGTTAGAATTTCAAAAATGGCTGCAGGAGCTTACTGTCTCACACAGCGCCACAGCTCAACTTCAGCATGACGTATAAAGTAGCCGTTGAGTTCCGAATGGAAATAAAAATAATTTGCCGTCGCGGTTTCGGTTCGCAGACGACGCAAATTTTGGCGATTTCACGTTGTTGTTTTGCATAGGACGGCTAAGAAACGTACAAAGTTTCAAAACGCACGTGCTGAGCTTTTGTTCTGCTAATTAGATCTCTTGTTTTTCCATGTCCTAGTCGCGGTCGCTGTCGCCGTCGTGGTTTCTTAAGGTCCCTAATAATAGTACCGCGGGTTCGGAGGGCTATGAAATGGCTGGTCATTTGAAATTCTCACTGGATTGATTCATCGACGGAAGAACTTTACTAGCTTTTTCTGAAATATTTTTTGATTAACTTGAAGGACAAATATCTGGCTTTCGTGATGCAGGGCCTCGAAGGAAGGAGACGTTATTTCAGTCTGAGAATCGAGCGATTTTCAAGTGCAGGTCAGCCCGTTGGTCACCGTCGGTATGACCGGGAAAGACTTCCTCCCTTTCCTGCCTCTCTGTGTAGGCAATAGGGGGATGAGAGCTCAGCTAAAACTTAGTGAAATGGCCTGAAATTGCTACTAGAGATCAAAAATAACACAGACAACACTATATGAACGTTGGAGTTTATTTGCTTTGGCTCTCATACAAAGCTTTATAATATTATCCTCTCATTATTGAGAGCTTGAGCTCCCTGTGCTCCGGCACGAGCTTTGCGCGTACAAAACCGTCAGCTGCTCTGGTTTCCAGTTTTCCCTGGTTGGTTGCCACCTGGTAACTTGCAGATGTCTGATTTTCGAGACACAAAATTGAATAAATTAATTTGAGAAGTCCGTTTTAAAGTAGAACAGTGCTTTGTTTTATATATATATTCCTCTGGAATACGAGAGCACTCAAAGGGTGGACTGCGAACTTCGTTTTTCGACTGAACAACCTTCAAAGAGTCCAACTGACGTAATCCCTTTTTTTTCGAATTCTGTGGTCAAACTTCTTTTTCGGGAATTAAGCCCGATCATAATTTAAATTCTAAAACATGCAGGAAACAAAACCATGGACTCGACTGGGTAAACAAATAAGTCTTGAACAAACAGAATTAATTATTTAAGTTGAGGCACTAGAAAAAAAAGCAAACATAAGGTTACGCTCTGGTTGCTAATCTTAAACGTAAGTAAACAGAATTTGTGTTTTGTTTGTGGAGCTGTGTTTTATAAAAGCTGTATCCCGAAGCATCTTCCAGCAGTTTATGGATACGGTAGACCTTCGAGGGCCAATATGTTTTTGGAAATTTTTTTTTTTCATTTTAAACTGAGCATCACTATTTTAATATAGCATAGTTTCCAAGAAAAGTTTTCGTAAAATATTGAAAATATCGATTTACAAACTGAACTCGCTTTAACCCGTCAAAGGATGAGTAGCCAATTTAAACATGTCACCATAAATTACTGTTTCCCAGTGAAGACTGTGCTAATGTCATCAAGAGATCCGCCTTTCATGTCACTTTTAGTAAAACATCTTCTAACGCAGGCAAGCACTTCTTCGAAAAGGTGGACAAAAACAAAACCCAAATGTTGCAATACTCCAGGAGAGAATTAATAAGCTGATCAGAGAAAACCAACTTCAGGCTGTTAGATACGACTCGAACAAGCATGATAAGGGAACAAGATCATGGTGGTCTACCATTAACTCTATCACTGGGCGGAAGTCAATCTGTCAGTCAATAAGTTCTATCATTGATCCTGCTAGTATTAATGTATACTTTGGCGTGATTAATACTGATCCCGACTACTCCCTCCCCGAGATGCTTAATTTTCCAGAGGGCACAAGGGGGTACCCTCCTTCACGGTGTATGAGGTTACGCAAGCTCTAATTAACATTATAAGGCGGACTACCTCGGGCCCTGATGATCTCCCCGACTGGCTTTTCCGTGACTTTGGGTACTACCTGGCTCCAATCATAACTGATGTATTTAATGCCTCCCTTCTGCAACATACACTTCTATTGTTGTGGAAGGAGGCGAATATTAGACCGGCTCCTAAGGAACTGCCATTTACTTCCTGTAACCAGCTAAGGCCTATTTCTTTAACAAATATAATTATGCGTCTGTTTGAGAGACTAGTGTATAGGGATGAATTATCCATCGTGTGCGCTAACCATATCAATTTAGACCAGTTTGCTTATCGAAAGGGACATAACTCTACCATGGCACAATTGAAGTCCCAGCATAACTGGCTAAAGTGGCTTGATGGAAATGCGGACTTCGTGCGGATTTTCTCCTTTGATTTTAGCTAGGCGTTCGATTCTGTGTCTCACAGAATTTTAGTAAGCTAAGGGATGTGGATATCAATCCATATATACTAAACTGGCTCATCAGTTTCATTAATAATAGAAAGCAACGGGTTGTGGTAGATAACATCACTACTGAGTTTATAGATATAACCAGGGGTGTCCCCCAGGGGATGGTGCTAGGTACAATATTGTTCTCTCTGATGATAAATGATATAAAGCCATTTAGCTCCTCTAGCCTATTGGTTAAATTTGCGGATGATATCACAGTCAGCATCCCTGTTCCCGCTGAGGATGGCAACACAGCCGAGTCTGAAGTTAGTTAATTCTATAATGGAGTGGGCTGAAAAGAATCAAATGACACTCAATTTGAATAAAACATGAGAAATGTTACTAAAAAGTGGTAGCCTGAAAGTTTCACCAGCTCCTCTCGCTATTGTGGAGCGTAAAACCAAGCTCAAGCTGCTTGGTGTTACATTTGAGGATGACCCTGTGAAGAACTGGGACTCACATATTGATCACGTGCTTGGTAAGGCCAGCAGTCGTATGTATATTTTAAGAGTTTGTAGATTTTATGGCTACCCTAAGGAGCAATTAGATCTGCTCTTCCAAAGCCTAATTATTTCAGTCTTCACGTACGCTATCGAGGTGTGGGGGTTGCTGCTATTATGATAAATAGACAAACTGTTTGCTAGGGCTTTTAAGTCTGGATATTGTTTGAAGAAATATAGTATTTGTGATATTTTAGCCACCAGAGATAGCAAACTATGGATCAAGATCACTTCAAATATCACTGCACTTGATGATCTTTTACCGCCGAGACGTACTAGGCAATTACGCAGCAGGGGCCATGATTACATATTACCTAGACTTCGTACTTCACGTTTTAAATCCACTTTTGTAAATAGATATCTTCTTAGCATTGTCTGCCATTAATAGTTAGTTGTATTTTCTATCTTAATCTGTTTTATATTTCATTCTTTGTAAATAATGACACGGTTGATGCATTATTGCTTTTAATAAAGACCATTATTATTATTATTATTATTATTATTATTATTATTATTATTATTATTATTACTCCCGAGGTGTTTTTTTTTTTTGTGGCAAAACATCCCGATTCTTCAATTTCAATCGCGCACACATCTCTTGTTCCGGTTGCACGTGGTTGTCTGCGTTTGAAACTAGACTGTGAATGTAGAAAAATAAAAAGGAGAAGATTCTTTGGTTGAAGTAAAAAAAAAATCTTGGTTGTTAGCACAAGAAGTAAAAAAATTCGACGCAGAATCTTATGCAATCACTAGCGAAACGAACATCACTGAAGAGGAAACGTGCCGTGTCATAACTCGCTCCCCATTTTCTTCATGCCCTGAAGGGGCTAAACCCAGTTTGATACAGTTTTAACTCGTCATCATATCCTTAAGATTCATGTCCACAAGGCTTTTTCAGTTCAAAAGTCCAATTTCCATACTTAATGACAAATGTCCTTAGTTTGTTATCCCTGGAGGTCTGTTGTTTTAAAACGAATTTTAAACTTCCACCTTA